GCTGTTATGAATGATTGTCGTATCCTTGTAATTGTCCTATTAAGGTGTCGTGTTAGGTGCAGGAAAACATCGCATTAGGAAAAAAACACAGATCATGCTAATTTAAAAATAGATGCAATTTGAAGCCTGTTTTCCAATAAATATGCAAAAATAAACGCTCGGCCCAGCACTCATTCCTTACAACTACAACTGCAGACTATTGATCTTCCTAGGAAAGAACCTTCCTAGCCACATGGGATGATAAACGCTGGTCTTATAAATGCAACCAGGCAGTTGATTTATGACCAAAAGTGGGAATTCGTGAGACCAAGTAGCAAATGTAAGAAGCCCTGTGTACTGGCTTTTCTTGCCAGCAAAACTTCACAAAGCCCCAGTGTCTCACATCTCAGCTCTCCAGAGATGGTTTTGAGACAAAACAAGACAGAGCACATGGCCCCTGATGTCTCTTGCCTGAGTCACCACATTCTTTAAAAGATAAACGATGCTAGTCCTTGCCTTTTCCTGCACACAAGATAATGTCTTACAGGGCAAGTGATGACGCCTCCGCGGTCTATAACCAGATGTGCTCCTGCCCCCAAACCTGGATGGGATTCTGCTTCGATGCAGCTTCTGAGCCAGTTTGATGTGATCTGCACGTGCTGACCTCCCACCACCTGCATATGAACTGTGAGCTGAAACAGCGCCTCTGACAGAGCTCTCCCGGGCTAGTGTGAGCTGAAACAGGGCGCCGAGCCTCTGACAGAGCTGCCCCCGCGGACTAGAAACCTCACTCTTCTATAGTCCTCGGTAAAACTTCTGAGTAAAACTCACTTTAATTCCTTAAAAGCTTGATTTTTTGTTTATCAACACCACAAACCTCTTTCCCATCCAGTTGGATGAAGGAGTAGTTATAGATTTAAATTCAGTTTAATATTTTAATTTCTTGACAAGAGTGGGTTGCACATACCAGCTAATAAGCAGAAGGCCTATTTTACCTAAAATGGATCAAACTACAAAATTAGTGATTTGTCCTCAATCTCACCCAGAAGAGAGTAAGAACTGACCTCATAAATTTAAGGAACAAAGTGGAACAAAAGGAAGCCTGATGTGACTGGGGCTGGGGATTCCCATCAGGCCAAGCTCAGGAGCACGGCCCTCTAGCCCGAGAGGGTGCTGTTGGGAGGTTGCTCACCAGGCCTAACAGTCATCTGGTACCTGTGCCTTCTCTGCAGGGAAGGAACTTTCCAGAATCCTGGGGAAGAAACCTCCTGAGGAGCGTGGCAAAGATGCTGAGGAGAAGGCATCACACAGACTCAGGTGAGCGCTCAGCATCTGGTATTTATGAGATATTTGCAAGAGACCCAGCGTCAGACAGTGCGGAGGGCCCTGTGGATGACCCAGGCTGAGAACCCGGGGAAACTGTAGAAAGGCACATGGACTCACTGGTCAGGATCTTGTGACCATGCTGCAAAGGAAGCAGGTAGTCTGATCAGGTGATGAAAGTCTGCTGTGAGAGGATGTGGGGACTGCCTGGCAGGAGTTCAGAGAGCCTGCTGGCTTCTGACCTCACACCAACAAGGGTCCTAGGAGGCCACTCACTCAGCAGCAGGTAGGGGTGCTGCAGGTGACCGGTCTATAGACCAGGGTGGGGCAGGAGGGCTGGCAGCACCCAGAGGTTGGGCAGAAGGAGGCCACACACAAAACAGGCTTGCAGCTCACGGACACACAGCAGGCCACCTGACAGGGGCTGGGCACACAGCAGACCGGCTGGCAGCAGGTGGACACCCCACACAGGGGCCGGCACAGCAGAGCCACACTGGGGACTGAGCAGCAGCAGGAGGTCCCACAGCCCTGGGGTGGGTAGCAGGTGCTGGGGACGCAGCATGGGGAGCCAGGGCAGGCCATCGGGCAGCCTGAAGAGCAGCTGGTGTGGCACATGATGGAGTGTGGACAGGTGGGGGGCGCAGAGGACACGGCTGGTCTGGAGCCTGCTTCCTTGGGTGGCCTTTATATCCAGGCCACCGGCATCCTGGCAACAAGGCCCCTGGCATCTTCCTCGTGGGTGGTTTTTCCTCCTCTGCCCTCTCCGGTTGATCTTTCTGTGTTTTCCTGTTGAGGTTACTTAGTTCAGGAAACTCTTTCAGCTGGGGGTGCCCTATCATTCAGCAGACAATGTGTTTCCTGGAAACAGAGCCGGGGGTAGCTGGTGAATGGCTGTCAGTGAGGCCAGGGGCCCACCTCATGGATGTTCAAGGTCCCCCCGCCTGGAACTCACACAAGCACAGTCACACTCACTGCACCAGGGGCGCCGTTTCGACGGAGAAGCTCAGTCATCATCAGGGTCTTAGTAACGAGAGCCAAGCTACTGGGCTTTATATTGTGGAACAATAATGATGATTACTGGGGGAACAATAATGCACAGAGGTCTAGTGCTGTGCCAGGCTGTGTTGGCATCTTATGGGGTTATCTCATTCATCTTTGCCAGCATTTGGGGTGGCCGATACCCCATTTTACAGATCATGCAAGTCCTAGATCATTTGCATGACGGGTGCGTGTCCGTGCCACTAGGGAGACGTAGGGATCTGGACTGCTTAGTTTCACTCTGGAATCCATGGTCGTTACCACTATGACAAATTATATTGGGCTCAGGGTTCAATAAGTGACTCATCCTGAAGTCCTGAACCAGCTGGGACGGAGAAGATGGATGAAAACATAGTCCTGAACCAGCTGGGACGGAGAAGATGGGATGAAAACATTGGCCATGTTGGCTTGCAGAGCATGGCTCAGGCGTGTGACTACCGTGGGCTTCCTGACACCACACCCCAGAAGTGCCCACTTCACAGAGAAGCCACTAGTGGCCATGCAGGCCACCTCTGCAGACGGAGCCCAGGAGGACCCATCATTTGAGGCCCAGCCACTTCCTGTCTAGTCTCTCTCCATCACTGGAGGGTCTGGATCAGTCTCACCCCTGCAGAGGCAGCGCCGGGAGATGGAGAGCCATGAAATTCCAGGATGCCTCATTTCTGGGAAGTGGCGTGGGCAGGAGTGTGGATGGGCGCGCTCCTCCTCACTCCAGCTCTGTCTCTTTTTGACGGATTGGCCACTGCACTTATTCTACCATGGTGTCACGGTAGGGATGAGCCGTCTCAGGGCAGACCTACTCCTCCATCCCAGCTCCCAGGGGCACCTCTGCTCCTCTGTGGGTCCTCCTGTGCCTGCTGGGTGTGATACAGTGAGATTCCTGCCAAGGAGCCTTTGACAACTCCAGACACCACGTTAATGAAATCCTCCCGCTGAAGACCCGAAGTGGGGTCTCAGAGCCGTGAGGAACCAGGCGCCTGGTGGATCCAGAGCCGATCGGTGGCGTGGTGGAGTGGACTTTAAGGCCTACGACAAGCCGGTGAGGCCACAAGTTCAATCCTGCCATGCAACTCCTTTCTTTGGGCCTCTGCCATAGTTCAGAATCACACTTAAAAGTTCAAGAGAATTGAAGCAGCCACGTGTGATCTCGTGTCTTATCACGCACTCCAGTCACCAAGTAACCCATTTTTAAAGGTTAGCTATTTACAAGCCGATTACAGAAGAACAAGGATGCATCTTTGATATTTACCTTGCTCCTTTACCTCCACGCTCCTCTTACTCCCTTCCTGCAGGTCAGTGTCCACTGGCTCATCCTAGTCAACCTAAAGCACATCCGCGCCCGTCCATGTTGCCTGCAGTGCACATCTACAGGGGAGGATTTCTCCCAGCTTTTGCTCTTCTGAACAGGTTTTTACCTCAACATGTTTTGAAGGATTTTTTTCATAGGTATAGAATTCCGGGTTGGCAAATTTTTCTTTCAGAATTTTAAAGAAGTTGCTCCATTGTCTTCTGGCCTCCACTGTTTTTGCTGAGAAGTGAGGGACTTTCTCATCCTTGCAAGAACCTTGTACCTTGTATGAAAAGTGCCTTTTCTTCCCACTGTCTTCAATATTTTTTTGATTTTTGGTTTTCATCACTTTTACTATTTGATGCTTGGATATGGCTTTCTTTGTACTGATCCTCCTACAGGTTTCTGAGATTCTTAGGTCTATAAGTTGTTATTTTTAAAATCATGTTTGGTGCCTTGGGCCATTATTTTTTTCAAAACTTATTTGTGGTTCAGCATCACTCTCTTCTCTTTCTGAGGCTGAAATTGCTAGTATGTTAGACAGTTCAGTACTGTCTCATACGTCTTTTCATTTTTTTTGATTCTTTCTCCTCTTCGAGACAGGATAATTTCCACTGGTGTGTCTTCAGGTTCACTGATTCTGTTTCCATCCAACTCCTAACCCCAAACCCCAGACCTCCTAGCATAGGATTTTGATGCTTGGTTCTAGGGTCCTCATGATCTGACCAGTTTTCCTGCACCCATGGCCCAAAACCCAGAGTGCAGGATTCCTGCCTTCCCTGGACATACCGGTTTCTGCAGCAGCATCCTCACTCTCTCCATGGCCACACTGTGTCCTCACAGAGGCCCCCCCAGACCACCCACTGGCACCCCCATTACTATCTCCTGAACCCATTTTTCCCCAGCACTCAGCCCTGTATGGAATTATTTCATGCATTCATTTCTTCCTTTACTCATTTATTCACTGCCCACTGCTAGAAGGCTCTTGAAGCCAAGACCTCTTTGCTGCTACTACACAATATATATTTGTTGAATGAACAAATAACTTCTTGTATAGATTATGGCAGGGTTGACTAACTTTCTGCAAAGGGCAGATGGCAAATATTTTAGACTTTGCATGTTACAGTCTGTTCCATAACTACTCAGTTGTACCAAGGCAGTGCAAAAGAAGCCACAGACAACACATAAACTAATGGCATGCTGTGATCCAATAAAAGTTCATTTGAAAGACAGGCAGTGGGCCAAATTTGGCTCCCAGACCATAGTTTGCCAACCTGTGCTTTAAAGTTTTACTCTACAAAATAAAAGCTCAAAACACATTACTGCCTCAACATCTTCCTTGATAGCATGAAACAAAAGTGAACAAACAGGATTTGGTACTTTGAGTCGAGCCAGTGGTGCTATGTGCACAGTAGTAGCCTGAAAAATATCGACAAAAAACCTGCATAATGTCAAACCAGAACATCCTGTTTACAGAAGAAACTAACCTCGAGGCCAAAGATATTTATGGTAGAGCATAACGCGGGAAAGTGCATGCAGGAAAATAAGATGTTGGGAAACACAGTGGCAGCAACCACGAGGAAGACAACCGTTGCGTTTTTGTGTTACCCAGATGCCCGGGACCCAGGTATAAAGACCACCAGAGAAGCGGCTTCCAGACATCACCACCCTCCTCCCCAGTACCAGCCCAGCCACACGCCATCATGTGCCAAACCAGCTGCTCCTCAGGCTGCCAGCCAACCTGCTGCATACCCAGCCCTTGCCAGGCATCCTGCTATGTGCCTGTGAGCTGCCAGTCCTCCGTGTGCGTGCCTATGAGCTGCACACGCATTGTGTGTGTGGCCCCCTCCTGCCAGTCCTCCGTGTGCGTGCCCATGAGCTGCACACGCATTGTGTGTGTGGCCCCCTCCTGCCAGCCCTCTGTGTGTGTGCCTGTGAGCTGCAGGCCCATCATATATGTGACTCCCTCCTGCCAATCTTCTGGGTGCTGCCAGCCTGCCTGCACCACCGTCCTCTGCAGACCCATCTCCTGCAGCGCCCCTTCCTGCTGCTGACCAGCTGCTCCTGGTACACAGGGGTACACACCTGTATCCCTCCATGAACTAGCAACTGGTGGACCCCCAGACTGTACACATGGGGCGGATGAAAAGCATGCTCAAGGAAACCTCTGAACTTTGGGGTGAGAACATGGAAAAAGGATTCAGAGCTTCTGTGACCCTGGGAACCCCCTCAAGGAAGTCCTGGCTGCCAGAGTCCTTCTCTCACTCCAGCAGGAAACTAAAACCCATGTGAGCCAAATAAATCAGCCGTCCCTATACACCTCGTCTCTCTCTTTTATCCTCATGTATTTTGTAAGTTCTTTCCTTGAAGGTACATACCAACTTTAATGGCAGCAGCACCTCTTCAGAGAGCCTCCTTCCTGATGGCTGAGCTGAAGTGGAGGGTTCTTGGTTGGCGGAGTGGCCTGAAGGTGCTGTCCCCACACTCAGTCCTCAAGCTTCGCACTGTGGGATAGTAAGATGTTGGGAAACACGGTGGAAACCACCATGAGGAAGACAACTGTTGTGTTTTTATGTTACCCAGATGCCTGGGACCCGGGTATAAAGACCACCAGAGAAAGAGCTTCCAGATGGAGAGTGTTAGGGGGAGGGTAGAAGAAAACAGTCCTCTACCCGGAAGGAGGGATGGGAAATAGTCCTGGGCCCCAGATCCCATGTGACACCTCAAAGGATTACTATAGCAAAGAGGGCAGGAAACTGTTTCAAACAACAACCACCACAAATACAGCGCAGAGTTCGTCTGTCCCGGGGAGGGGCAGCAGGAAGTCCAAGAAAGTCTCATTCTCCAAGTCCCACATGCAAAGGGCCTGCCTAAGACTGACACTGGACCAGGACAACAGAGAGCCTTCCTGTCTCCAGCTCCAGCCTACCAGGCACAGCTCAAAAAGCAACATCAGCCTGCCTCTGGGGAAAGGCAGAAGTGTGTAGAGATCTCCTCTGAATGTCAGGCATGCAGGGGCATGTGAAAACTGAGGGTGGAGCAAATGCCCTGACCTCCCCACCCCTCATCTTAAGCGCAAGCACTGATATACCCTAAACACAAGCCACTGGTGCACTGAAGGCAACCACGGTAAAAACAAAACCCAAACCACCGTCAGTATCTGACCAGATTGATTCATCCGCCTCCCCCTACACACTAATGACCTGACAGAAAAAGAGATACACGCATTTCCAGAAGGAAATGTTGATGTCTGATATTCAATAAAAAATTATAAGACATGCAAAAAAGCAAGGAAAAACCAAGCCATTGTCAGCAAAGAAATCAACAAAACTGGATTCAAAAGTGACCCAAGGACTGGGCACAGTTCACACCTATAACCTCAGCACATTGGGAGGCTGAGGCTGGAGAGTTGTTTAAGCCTCGTAGTTCAAGGCTGCAGTGAGCTGAGATTGCACCAGCCTGGGTAAAAGAGCAAGACACTATCTCTAAAAATAAAAAGTAAAATGACACAGGTTTACAGCTATCAGGCTGTAACTTTAAAATAACTGTAATGAATAGATTAAAGGGTCAAGGATAAAGCATTAAAACCATATATGAAGAGATGGGTAATTTCATGAGACAGATGGAAACTATAAGAAAGGTTCAAGTGGATATGGTAAAAATCAAAATACAATATAAAAGATGGCTTCCTTCAGTGGGCTCATCAGTATACTTGATACAACCAGGTGTGGAAGCTTAGAATTTGAAGACATGTAAATATAAATTGACCAAATTAAAACACAAAGAGAAAGAAGAGGGTGGAGGAAGACAAGAGAAAAACATCAAAAAGCTCTGGGACAGTATCAAATCCTCATTTATGGATGTAATTGGAGTCCCTGAAAGAGAAGAAAGAGAGGGCAGGGCAGAAGAAATATTCAAAGAGGTAACAGCTGAGAAATATTCTAAAAATAATGAAATACACAAAGCCCCATATCCAAAAAGTTCAGAGAACCCCAAATTGGGTAACTATATCCCCACTACAAATGACTAGACGTGTCACATTAAATCTGTGACTGACAAAAACCAAAGGTAAAAAGGGAAATCTTGAAAGCATCCATATTTTAAAAGCAGACTACGAGCATAAGGACAAAGGTAAGGTTTATATCAGACTTCTTATCAGAAACCACACGACCGAAAGTACGTCTTTAAAAATACTGAAAGAAAATCTGTCGACCCCATGACACTAAAAGTGTCTTTCAAAAATGAAAGAGAACACTTTTTCAGATGAACAAAAACTGAAAGACTTCATTAACAGCACACATGCACTATAAGAAATTCTTCAAAAATTTCTTTGAGCCAAGGAATATGATAGCAGATAGAAACTTGGATTCACACAAAGAAAAGAAGAGCTCTTGGCTGGGTGTGGTGGTTCACGTCTGTAATCCCAGCACTTTGGGAGGCCGAGGTGGGTGGATCACCTGAGGTCAGGAGTTTGAGGCCAGCCTGGCCAACATGGTGAAACCCCGTCTCTACTAAAAATACAAAAATTAGCCAGGCATGGTGGGGTGCTCTTGTAATCCCAGCTACTCGGGAGGCTGAGGCAGGAGAATTGCTTGAACCCAGGAGGCGGAGGTTGCAGTGAGCCAAGATTGCACCACTGCACTCCAGCCTGGGCGACAGAGCAAGACTCTGTCTTAGGGGGAAAAAAAGAGAGAGAAAGAAAAGAAGAGCTCTAGAGATTATTTTAAAAGAAGATAAATATAAAAAGCATTATAACTAATTGACTGTCCAGAGCAAAAATAGTGACAATGCATTGTGGGATTTTTAACATAAGTAAAAGTAAAACATGGCAACAATCACACAAGGAATATAAAAGAGGACATGGAGGTACACTGCGGTAAAGTCCTGCCACCTACAGATGAAGTGGCATCATATTACCCGGAGGTATACTTTGTTACAGTAAAGGTTTATATTGTAAATCTTAGGCCAACTAAGTTTGAAAAGAAGTATTAGGCTATTATCGCCTTGCTACAAGGAAATACCTGAGACTGAGTAATTTATAAAGAAAGGAGGTTTAATTGGCTCACAGTTCTGCAAGCTGCACAGGAAGCATAATCCTGGCATCTGCTCAGCTTCTGGGGAGGCAGAATTGTGAGGAAACTTACAAGCATGGTGGAAGGTGAAGGGGGAGCAGGCACATCAGGTGGCCAGAGCCGGAGCAAGAGAGAAAGACAGGGGAGGGGCCACATGCCTTTAAACAACCAGGTCTCCCAAGAACTCACTCACTGTCTCAAGGACAGCACCAAGGTGATGCTGCTAAACCATTCATGAGAAATCCACCCCGATGATCCAATCACCTCCCACCAGATCCCACCTCCAACACTGGAGATTACAATTCAACATGAGATTTGGGCGGGGACGCAAATCCAAACTATTTCAAGATGTACACAAAAAGTAGATATAAAAGGGAATAACTAAGAATGCTAAACCAAAAAGTGGCATAGAAAGAGGGCGAAGATAAAAAGGAACAGATGGAACAAATAGAATACAAATAGCAAAGTGATATTTTACATTAAGTAGATCAAAAATTAAATTAAATGCAAATCATCTAAACACCAAAACCAAAAAACAGAGATTTTTAATTAGATTAAATAATTCAGGATCCAACTATATTCTATCTCCCAGAAGCCTCACATTAAATATAAATACATAGATAGGTTAAAAGTAAGCAGATGGAAAAATATACCACACAAACATTAATCAAATAAAATTGGAATGGTTATATTAATATCAAACAAAGTCAGCTTCACAAAAGAAATATTACCAGGGATAAAAAGGAATATTACATAATGATAAAGCATCAATTCACCATGGAAACATAACAACTCTAAATGTGTAAGCACCAAACAGCCAACTTGCAAAACACACGCAACAAAAAAACTGAGAAGGGAAAGGAGAAACAAATCAGACTGGTCACTAGACTTCAGCTTCAAGAGAACAAGTAGACAGAAAATCAGGAAAGATACAGAAGGCCTGGACAACACCATCAATCAACTTGACCTAATGGATATTTATAGAACACTCCACCCAACAATAACAGATACACATTCTTTTCAAACACATGAAACATTCACCAAAAAGACTATATTCTGGCCGTAAAATAAACTTCAACCCATATAAAAAATGTTGAACTAATACAATATATGTTCTCTGACCACAAAGAAATTAAATTAGACATTAACAACAAAATGATAACTAGAAACACCCTGCCGAACTGTAAACTAACCAACACACTCCTAAATAACCCATGGTTCAAAGAAGAATCACAAGAGAAATTAGAAAATATTTTGAATTAAATACAAATTAAAAGAAAACATGTCAAAATATATGGAACATGGCTAAAATAGTGTTTAGAGGGATAAAATTATATCAGTAAGTGCTTATATTCACAAAGAAGAAAGTCCTGAAATCAGTTATCTAAGTCTGCACTTTAAAGAAAAGAAAGCAAATTAAACTCAAAATTAGCAAAATAAATAATTAAAAATCTGCAAAAAAATAATGAAGTAGAAAATGGAAAAAATTTCAATGAAACCAAAAGCTGCTTCTTTGAAAAGAACAATGAAATGAATAAGCATCTAGCCAGACTGGTCAGGAAAATTATAATAAAAAGAAAGAAGAGACACAAAATAGCAATATTAGGAGTGAAAAAGAGACATCATTACAAATCTTACAGTTATTAAAAGCATGATAGAGGAATGATGTAAACAACTTCATACCACTAAATTTAATAATGTACATAAAATTGGCACTTTTTTTTTAAAGTATGAAAGCTTATTCCAGAGAAGTAGGTAGCCTGAATAGTATCATATCTATTAAAGAAGTTGAATTTTCAGTTAAAGCCTTTCAATGAACAAAACTAGGGGCAAATGACTTCCCTGGAAAATTCTACCAAACATTTAAAGAAGAAATATAACCAATTCTACATGAACTCTTCCAGAAAATAGAAGGAAAGGAATCATTCCCAATTAAATTTATAGGGCAGGCATAATCTTGATATCAAATTTGAACAAAACTATTACAAGAAAACTATATACTACTAATAATTTCTCTTATGGATATAGATGCAAAAATTATCAATGAAATACCAGCAAATTCAATCCAGAAATATGTAAAAGAGATAAAAGGTCGTGATCATGTGGGATTTATCCCAAGAATGCAAGGTTGGTTCAGTGTTAAAAAATCAACTTATATAATTCACCATATCAACAGACTGAAGAAGCAGCACCATATTATTATCTCAATAGAGTCAGAAACGGCTTTGGATAAAATTCAACATCCATTCAGAATAAAAACTGTTAGCAAACTAGAAATTAAAAGGAACTTCTTTTAAAGAGCATCTGTGAAAAACCTATAGCTAGTATCATACTTAATGGTGAAAGACTATATGCTTTCCCTTAAAATCAAGAATAAAGCAAGAACATTCACTTTTGCCTCTGCTGTTTATTACCATACTGGACTTCCCAAACAGTGAAGTAAAAAGCATGCAGCCTGGAAAGGAAGAAATAACACAGTCTCTATTAACATATTACATTATTGTCTACCTAGAAAATTCCCAAAAATCTACAATAAAGCTACAAGAACTAGTAAGTGAATTTAACAAGGTCAAAGAAAAAATGCCAATATACAAAAATCAATTTTATTTTAATATACTAGCAATCAACAATCAGAAATTGAAACTTAAAAATAGTACCATAATAGCATTAAACATTATAAAATACTTAGGGGGAAATAAAATGTATACATTGAAAACTACAAAATATTGATGAGAAAAATCAGAGAAAACCTAAATAAATGGACCATGTTATCGATTGCTGGATATATCAACTCTCCCCCAAACTGATCTATAGTTTCAATACACTCCCAATCAAAATCTCAACACAAATTCTACAGATATTGATAAGCTTATGCAAATATCTATATGGAAAGACAAAGAAACTAGAGTAGCCTAAACAACTTCTTAAAAGAAGAACAAAATTGGAGAACTCACACTAGCTGATTTCAAGACTTACTATAAAGCTGCATTTATCAGGACAGGACGGTGTTGGCAACAAGACACTTAGCATATGACCCAGCTATTCCACTCCTGGACGTTCACCCAAGAGAGAGAAACAAATATGTCCATGCAAAAACCTGGACTCACTAACACGCCCCATGTGGAGCACTAGCAGCACAGAACGTGGGCTCCAAGTGGCCCTGAGAGCCCTACAGCTCTGGAGGGTGGGGGCTGAGCCAGGCCTCATCCATGCTTCCCTCCAGAAGCATTTTTTGGTTACCAGCCCTCCCTCCTCTCATGCTCTGATTTCCAGTTTCACCTCTAACTCCCAGCCTGGGGGACCAGAGTGCTTACGTGTGTGCATAAGTGTGTGCATGTTGTATAGTGCACACATTGCATGTGTTCATGGGTTTGAATGTGTTCAGCTGCAAGCATTTATATGTCTGGATTGATTGGTTCCATTTCTTGCTCAGTTTTATCCAAAGTCCCCCAATTTAAACAACACGATAGGTCCCTGATCACCTTGCCTAAAAGATGATGAAACCAGTTTTTTAACTCTAAACTCAACACCTGCCTCCAAGGCAAATAAAAAGCTTGGAATCTAAGACAGCCAGTAGTGAGAATGCCCTTCGGGGGCAGTTCTGGGCTATACTATCTGGAATAGCAGACTCCTGGGGCAAGAGGGCTGGCCCATCTACTGGGGAACGTTTAACCTGAGACAACCACAGCAGAGCCCCTCAGAAGGAGAATGCAGCCCAGACGGGGAAATGCAGAAGAACGCCACCAGCACAACACAGACTGGGAAAAGCAAGTTCCAGATCACATTCAGAATAATTCCTTTTTCATATCATCAGAAATTACTAAATTAGAAAACACACATTTCAGGAATACACAGAGATATGACTCAACTCTATTTTTTCTAGAAAGTAACAGAATAAGGAGCACACAATCCCAACAGTGGCTGCCCCAAGAAGTTCATGGTAAATTATTGATGATGTTCTCATTTCTATGTCAGGCAGTGGGTTCGTGGGGGTTTATTATATGAGGATTCTCAGTAATTGGTCATCAGTCAATCAGTAAGAACTGAGCCTCTGTGGACCACTGATGGGAGTGTGTGCTGCAGAACTAATCCAGTTCTGTAAACCTGAGATCCTCCCCGACCTAGGAACAGGACGTCCACCAACCACATGGGAAAACCCGATCCTCGGTGCTCTGAGGCTTTGGCCATCAGTGCAGGGCTTGCTGGCCTGGAGCAGGAGTGGACAGACAGTGGGGAAGACCACTCACTCCACCACAGGAGGGTAAGTCACTGCTGTGGCCACCGCACCTGGGCCCCGGGAGTCTCGGGCGAGACCACATGGGCATCTTTAGCCGCGCCCTCCACCCGGGACACCACCTTCTGATGAGGACTGTGTGAAGGGACCACTGAAGAGGGTTTAGCAGCAAATTCTACATAATCAGCAGAATAGACAGCGGGGAGTATAGAAATAAAAAACAAAGACCAGAAACGCAGAACTGCATAGGGAAAGCTGGTTTATTTGGCTCTTATGGAGTCAGAGAATGATTCTGGGACCCCGGACTTCCCTGGGGGGATGGGCAAGGTCAGCAAGGGCTCCAGATCATTCTGTCATATTCTCGATCCAGAATTCACAGGGTTCACTGAGCATGCTTTTCACCTGCCCCATGTGCAGAAGGCCAACTGAGGACTCATCCGGGGAGTGTGCAGGTGTGGCCTCATCTGCACTGGGAGCAGCGGGTCTGGAGATTCGTGGTCAGCAGCAGGAAGGGATGCCGCAGGAGATGGGTCTGCAGAGGACGCTGGTGCAGGAGGGCTGGCAGCACCCGGAGGACTGGCAGGAGAGAGCCGCATAAACAACGGGCCTGCAGCTCACAGGCACACACACGGAGGACTGGCAGGAGGGGGCCACACACACGATGGGCCTGCAGCTCACAGGCACGCACACGGAAGACTGGCAGCTCACAGGAACGCACACGGCTGGCTTGAAGCTCACAGGCACACACATGGAGGACTGGCAGCCCACAGGCACGCAGCAGGATGCCTGGCAGGGGCTGGGCACGCAACAGGTTGGCTGGCAGGGACTGGACACGCAGCAGGCTGGCTGGCAGCCTGAGGAGCAGCTGGTATGGCACATGGTGGTGTGTGGCTGGATAAGGTCGAGGCAGAAGGCAGTGATGTCTGGGGATGGCCTCCCTGGGCAGCCTTTATACCTGGACCCAGGCATCCCACAACACAGAAGCACGCCTATCTTCCTTGTTTTTCTTCCTCAGTGCTGTCTCCTGGAGCTTAATTTTCTGTTGTAGGTGTCTCTGGGTTTTGTTTGGCCCTTAGTTTCATGACTAATTGCACCTTCTTCGAGCTCTTAGTATGCTTGGAAACCTGCCAGAGTGTTTTACTGTCTTCATCTGGATTCTTCTTTGTTCTTTAAAATTTTTACCTGAGTTACTTTTGTGAGATTCCAAAAACTCAGATCTCCAGATTTTCCTCTCTGTGTGATGATGGTCCTTAAAAGATAGAAGTTTACACTGCTCCCATGGCTCAGGAAGACTCCATAGTCAATGTGAGATAGAATAGAGTGTGTCCAGCTGATCTGTGGATGTCCTGAGAGCTTAGAGCTGGATGAGAGAGCTAGTAGATGGAGAAAGAACATGGAAATCACTTGTCCATAGGATGAGTGGGGACAAAGGGTGTGGGTCACAGAGAACTTCTTGTGAATGGTGACCATGGATCTTTGTCTTGAGAAATCCTTCTAGTTAAGAACCAAGATGAGACAACACCACTGGCCCTCATGCATGGAGACACAGCTCTAAGGAAATCAAGTTGGTCCATGCGTGTTCCCAGGGAAGCATGTGAAGCCAGTGAAGTGTCCCATAGACAGCCACAGCAGGATATGTGTGAGCTAAATATAGAAGCTTCCAAGGGCCAGAATGACTTCTGGGCATGTTCAGCAGAAAGCCATGTGCACCCCATACTGCAGGGACAGTAGAATCTCTGAGCCTACAGATGTCAACACCAGATCACTTGAAACTTGGCACCATGATAACAGAACAAAGGAAAAAGTCACGTGATCATCTCAATTGATGTAGAAAAGGCATTTCACAAAATTCAAGATGCTTTCATGATGACAACAATCAACAAACTAAGAATAGAAGAAAACTACCTCAACACAATACAAGCCATACATGAAAGACCCACAGCAAGCCTCATACCCAATGGTGAAAGACTGAAAACTTCTTCTCTAATATTGGGAACAAAGCCAGCATAGTACTGGAAATTTTACTAAGAACAACTAGGCAAATTGTTGTAAAAGAAAGAAACAAACAAACAAAAAGCATCCAAATTGGAAAGCAAGAAGTAAAGTTAACTCTGTGATATGATTTTCATATGTAGAAAACTCTAAATATTCCACAAAAACTCTGTAAGAAGCAATAAATGAATTCAGCAAATTAGCAGGATACAAAAGCAAAACACAAAAATCAGTTCTATTTCCATAGAAGCATAATCTCAAAAGGAAAGTACAATAACAATTCCATTTACAATACAGTAAAAAGAATAAAATACTCAGGAGTTAACCAAAGTGAAATAATTGTGTGACAAAAACCACAAAACGTTGTTGAAAGAAAATAAAGGCAACATAAATAAATGGAAACACATTCCAAGTTCATGAATTGGAAATTAATATTGTTAATATGTACATACTAACCAAAGCAATCTACAGACTCAATGCAATCCCTGTCAAAATCCCAAGGATGTTTATTGCAGAAATAGAAAAACCCATCCTAAAATTTATATGGCATCTCAAGGGACCCTAAATAGCCAAATCCATTGTAAAAAAAGAACAGAGCTGGAGGAGTCACACTTTCTGATTTCAAAACTTACTACAACACTGCAGTAATCGAAACTGTGGTACTGGCATAAAGAACAATACATAGACTAATGGAATAGCATAGAGAGCCCAGAAATAAACTCTCACAACTACAGTCAAATAATTTTTGACAAGGCTGTCAAGACCTTTCAATGAGGGAAGGACAGACTTTTTAACAAATGGCAATGGGAAGACAGGATATCCATACACAAAAGATTATTTTTTACCCTTATCTCACACCATATACAAAATTAACTCAAACAGGATCAAAGATAGAGAATCTCAGTAATCGAAACTATTTTTTAAATGGGAATGCTAGAACTAAAATGTACAATAGCTGATATTTTAAAATCCACATGATAGACATAAAAGTAGAATGAGATTGAAGAAGAGTCCATGATCTTGAAGGCACATCAATAGAAATTATCCAAAATGAAGGAGAGGAAGAAAAAAAATTAAGAAAAATGAAAAGAGCTTGTGAGACATCATTAAACAGCATCACATATATGTAATATCAAACTCAGGTGGCTCATGCCTATAATCCCAGCACTTTGGGAGGCCAAGGCGGGTGGATCACGAGGTCAAGAGATTGAGACCATCCTGGCTAACATGGTGAAACCCTGTCTCTACTAAAAATACAAAAATTAGCTGGGTGTGGTGGCACACGCCTGTAGTCCCAGCTACTTGGGAGGCTGAGGCAGGAGAATCACTTGAACCCGGGAGGCAGAGTTTGCAGTAAGGCGAGATTGCACCACTACACTCCAGCCTGTGACAGAGCAGGACTCCATCTCAAAATAAATAAATAAATAAAAAAAATAAAATAAAGCACTGGGCATTCTTCCCTAAAACACAAAGCTACAAACACAGAGCCTCCTCTGCCCCTCAGCAACAAGGGGGCAAGGGTGAGGGTTTGGAGGGCTGTACTTTCAGTTAAAGAGAGGCTAGCTGTTTGCCTGCAGTATAGACTAAGGAGCCTGGAGCCTGGACTGAGGCTGCCAGGTTGAAAACCTGAGACCATGACATCTGGTTCCGGCACACTCCATTGCTACTGGAAACAGCCATCCCAGTATTCCCACCATCCTCCTCCTCGGCTTATGGATCACCTGCAGGAGGTGGCGCACCTTGTTGGGATGAAAATCTGGGTGCTCTTTGCCCTAGCAGTCCCACCCCGAGAAGTCCTACCCCCAGAACACTAACAAACAGATTATGGGATGGGTTTGCAAATGTTTTTATCAGCACCATCTGCAAGAGCAGACTCTTGGGAACAACAGGCCTGCCCATCTACTGGAGAGCATTTAACTTGAAGTAGAAACAGCAGAATCCCAGGAAGGAGCCACGCTGGATACAGAATACACCCATGAGAAATGCAGAGGACCCTTGGCAACTCTATACAGAGTGGGAGACATAAGTCTCAGAAAATTACTCAGAATAATTCCCTTTTAATATCATTCAAAACCACTAAATTAGAAAACACACATTTCAGGAATACAAAGAGATATGATTCAACTCCATTTTTTCTAGAAAGTAACAGAATAAGGGGCACACAATCCCAACAGTGGCTGCCCGAAGAAGTCCATGGTAAATTATTGATGATGTTCTAGTTTCTGTCAGGTAGTGGGTTCATGGTTCATAGGTTGGGGGGGGGTTGTTATATTATAATCATTAATAATTGATCAATAAAAAGTGGGCAGGCTCAAGATGGCTGAGTAGAGGCACCTGACACTTGCCTCTTCCACAAAGAAGAACCCAAAAGAGTGAGTAGGTAACAACATTTTGAATGGGACATCTAAGACAGACACTGGAATTCAGCAGAGAAGTGACAGGAAATATCTGAGGCACAGAAGGAGAGGGAAGGGAGGCAGCTGGCCCAGTTGGAATCAGTTGGGAGCTCACAAAGACTCCCCAGTGCAGGGAAATGGTAAATGAGATTCCCTGCTGTCTACATTTCCACCATGGACTCAGCATGGACCTGAAACCCTAGCCATAGGAGAGCCTCTTGTTCTTCACAGGCCCTGAGACTTGCATAGGGATTTGCCAGGATGCCACATAATGGCATTGCTCCAGAGAAAGAGCCCACGCTGGGTCCCACACACCCACCAAGTCCTGAGCAGCCAGCTGTAGCATGGTGCCATTTTGCCATTTTGAGAGCCCAGCCACTAAAAGTCTGCATCGTGCCCTGGGGCCCAACAGATCCTGTATCTCCACATCCCTTCAGCCCTACTGAATCCCACAACCCCCACCAACCCAGGAGGGCTGCAGGAGTGCAATACCAGCTGGACACATCAATAAGGCAGGGGTTACCCTGCACTTGCATGTACCCTGAGTACAGGCTTTCCACACCCACCACCATAAATTACCCCACACTATTCACCATAGCCTGTGTCCATGCATACTGTGTGGCCTGGCACTGCACCCCCAGTGCCCAAGCATACCATCTGGGGGCCTGGTGATTTCCCCACTCAGTCTACCAATGCCGGTCATCTTTGCACTCCTCCCAGGGACTCGGGGATGGGCCCCCCCAGCCTGCCACTACCACCAGTGCCCACTTGCATATTCCACCTGGGAGCTTGGGGACTGGCTTGCCCAGCCTGTCACAACCACCACTAACATTAGTAAGTGCTTTCTGAGAGCCCAAAGGCTGTCCCACCATTGCTACTACCATCATCCATGTCAGACACACTGCCCAGTGGCCCAAGGACCCATCCATGCATCCATCCCACTGCTGCCACTGCTAGCACACAAGCAAGCTATCTGGAGGCCCAAGAATCAGCCTGCCTGGACATGGTAACACCAGTGCCAGCATATGCTACTCAGGGGCCTAAGGACAGGCACATTTGGCCCACTGCTGCCACCACTGGGGCCTGAAATCTGGCTAACCTGGTGTTTCTGACCCCAGAAAAGCCTCACCACAGCCTCCACTGACAATCACAGCCAAGTCGCTGAGGAAATCACAAACACTACTGATGCTGTTCTTAGCCAAGCAGAGACTAAACTACTGCATGCACCCAGAAGAATAGCTAAAGTATCCCACCCAGCCACCACCATAGACGTATCTTCAGGAAAAAGTCTTCCATCAAAAAACCAGTCCCCAAAATTGGAAGAAGTGATTGTTACGTCAGATGTGCGGATATCAACATGAGGACTCAAGAAACGTGAAAAAACAAGGAAATGTCACACCTCCAAAGGGACACAAGAATTGTGCAACAGATTCAAATGAAAAAGAAATGTATGAATTAGCAGAAAAAGAATTCAAAATAATGATATTAAAGACATTCTGTGAGATATAAGAGAACACAGATAAACAATACAAATAAACCGAAAAACAATTCAGGATATGAATGAGAATGACCAAAGAGACAGACATCATAACCGAAGAATCAAACAGAAATCCTGGAAATGAATAATTCAATAAATGAAATAAAAAGTCTATTTGAGAGCTTCAACAATACACCAGATCGAGCAGAAGAAAAACTTTCAGAAGTTGAAGACTGGTCTTTTTAAACAACTCACTCAAAAAGAAAAAAATAAAAATAAACAAAGCCTATCTGACATATGGAAAACTGTAAAGTGAGCAAATATTCTAATATTGGATGTTCCAGAAAACAAAGAGAAGCCCAGCCCAAAGGCATAGAAAACCTATTTAGCAAAGTGA